TAGTCTAACCTACTGGAGACAAATGCATGGATAAGAATCTCCAAGTCTGCTTTAGACACTATGTTTTTGATCCTGGCAATGTTTATTAGATGGTAAAAAGCTGCTGATGTTACTGATTTGATGTGGCTATTAAAATGTAAGTCTGAGTCCAGTATTACCCCTCGATTTCTGACCTTGTTTGAAGGTTTTAGGGAGAGAGACTGGAGGTGACAGATGACGCTCTCTCTTTGTTTCTGGGGACCAAAGACAATCATTTCAGTTTTGTCTGCGTTTAGCTGAAGGAAGTTGTTTTGCATCCACTCACTGATCTGTTGGATACAGTGAAGGAGTGAGTCCACTGGTCCATGTTCTCCTGCAGTCAGTGAGACAAAGATCTGAGTGTCGTCTGCATAGTTATGATAGGACACTTTGTTTCTGCGTATTAACTGACATAACGGCAGCATGTAGAGATTGAACAGAAGAGGTCCCAGGATCGACCCCTGTGGGACTCCACAGGTCAGGGCCATATGATCTGAGACACAGTTTCCAATCTCCACAAAGTACTTCCTGTCTTCAAGGTAAGACCTAAACCAACTTAGGGCGGTGCCAGCGACGCCAACCCAGTCCTCTAGTCTCTGTAAGAGGATCTCATGGTCGACGGTGTCAAAGGCAGCACTTAGATCTAACAAGATTAAGATTGAGATTGTGATGAAAAGTAAGTAAGTAGTAAGTAAGTAAGTTTTTATTTATATACCGCCTTTTCACTGCAGATCTGAGTCTCAAAGCGGTTTACAATTGTTAATTTTGGGCATTTGTATCTCACTCCACACAGAGATGGGAGCGGGGTCGCCAGTACAGGAAGCGCATGCCAGAACTATTGGACATATTTTTAGTGGTAGGGGAAACCGGAGTACCCGGAGGAAACCTACGCAGACACGGGGAGAACATGCAAACTCCACTCAGAAAGGCCCTGGTCCGACCGGGATTCGAACCCAGGACCTTCTTGCTGAGAGGCGAGAGTGCTATCCACTCAGCCACCGTGCCGCCCAGTAAGTAAGTAAGTCAAAAATTCTTTATACTTGCCATTAGGACAAAGCAAAATTATCTTGTTTTTGAAAGATACAAGAAATGTCTCCCTTGGAATTAGAAAATAAAGCAGTTCTTGAAATAAGACTAAATGAAGAATCTTCTCGGAGTGTTCTCAAATTAACATAAAATAACACTCAATTCAAGCAAATATTACCTCTTTTTTTTTGCAGTGTATCTTAGCTTTTCTGATGTACTGTGATTATGTAGGATCTTAACCCTTGTATTATGTTAAGGGTCAATTTGACCCATTTCAGTTTTTGAGTTGATAAAAGTACTGGTTATCCTCTCTTTTTCTTACTGAAATTTGGTGACTTTTCCTCATTTAGGGTCATGAACTGGTGTGTAAAATCTGGACACTTTGATGTGAAGTGGAATGTCTGTGCAGAGTTTGTATACAAAGATGATGTTGCGGGTAATTTTGACCCAAACGCTTTAATGTGGGTAAATAGTTGTTCAGATCCAAAAAAACATGTCTCATTGACATTGTATTTTGATTGCCTCTGAGAGCCAGAGCCAGGTGTGTGAAGAGAGGGAACTTTCTCACACTTGTCCTTGTCACTGTTCTCATGTCATCTCTTTTGCCTAGCGTACATCGGACTGGCAACTGATTATACTGTATCTGTCGCCTATGAGTTGCTGCCCCGCACACATCGACAATCTGGCGAAAACGGGCCGCTCCTGTATCAGGCCAGTCTCGGGAATAACAGCGCGTACATCGACAGCAACTGGCCTCAACTACAGTGTGTTTTCTGACATAAACTGTAGAGGGCGCGCAATACACACATGTTGTTGGAGCGCGCACAACGGGTGATATCTCCGGATCTGAGGACAACTAGTTGCCGAAAAGTAGAACACGGGCAACTGACTGAATCCGAGATCGACTGTTTATCTCCAGTTGTAAGAGCGCTCACATCGACCGATTTCATCTGATCATCTCCATCATCTACTCTCAGTTGCCAAAAGCCACCTTGCAACTAGTTGTCTCCAGTTACTCTGTCGATGTGCGCTAGGCTTTAGACAAACTCACCAAAAATGAGCTCCAGAAGGATGACATCTGAGGAGGCTTTATCACAGATTTTTAACTGGGATAATGATGTAGAGGAAGAGATTTCAGAGACAGAGGACAATGTTATTGCTGATCCAGATTGTCAATTTTTTCTACGATAAGGAGGATTCAGAGGACGAA